AAAAAAAATTGTAAACCACTTAGAGAGGGCTGAAAGCCCTATGAAGCGGCATATAAGTCTAATAAATAAATAAATAAATAAACTTACAACCATTCACTTAGTGACTTTCAGTGAATGAAAGTCTTAGTGACAACAGCACTGAAAAAGCTGTTTTAGCACCAGTCCTCGCACCTACGACCATCAAAGCCACCCTATGTTCATTTTATCAAAACAATACAGCTGGGATGTATTTGGAAGAGTTGCAGCATCCTGGGCTCATGTTTGCCATTTGAGACCTTCCCAGCCAGCTTCTGACAAGCAAAGTCAATTGGGGTGGTGCTGATTCACTTAATGACCATAAGATTCACTTAACAACCAGTGATTTGCTTAACTTTTGGCAGGAAAGGTTGTAAAATTGAGCACACTCACCTAACATCCACACTGGTTAGCAATGGAAATTCTAGTCCCATTTGAACATCTAAGTTTTACACTGAAAATTCCCTTCTTCCCTCCCAGACTGAGAGCCGCAGAATCATCCACATTTCTGCAGAGCAGAAACGCCGTTTTAACATCAAACTGGGGTTTGACACATTACATGGCCTAGTGAGCACTCTGAGTGCCCAGCCCAGCCTTAAGGTGAGTGCTGATCGGCCGTTCTTGATCCTTGCCAATTTCCTCAACAGAGGCCACAAAATTACCCTTGCAGTTCTTGACGCCATTTTGGAGAATCTTCTTCTCTGGTCTTGTCAGCCATCCTTAATCTGAAGGATGAGTTCTGCACGCTTTGTAATCCACAGCTGGCAGGCAAAGCAGATGTTATAGGAGCTGTGTGTGTGTGGAGGCTGCCGGGCCAGGGAAGCTGTCCAAACACATTTTTCTTCCCTTCCTTCACCCCACTATGCAGATCAGCAAGGCCACAACCCTGCAGAAAACAGCAGAATACATCTGCAAGCTGCAGCAGGAACGCGCTACCCTGCAGGACGAAACCCAGCGCCTGCGGGATCAAATTGAGGAGCTGAACGTTTCCATCAAGTAGGCCTGCTGGGAGGACGACTGGCTTTCTTTGGCAAAGAAAGTGATTTGGGTGTCTTTTGGTTGCTGACATGGAGCTCTGGCATGGCATGGCCAATTGGGCATACAGTAAAGGGGGGGAGCCACAGGCCAGAGGCCGTGGAGATGGTAACACCTGGCTTATGTGTGAAATCCAGGCTTCTCCCTAACTTGTCATTCTTCTTCTTTAGCGTCTGCCAGCAGCAGTTGCCTGATACGGGGGTGCCCATCACCCGCCAGCGTTTTGACCAGATGCGACATATGTTTGACGAATACGTCCGCTTGTGCACCTTACAGAATTGGAAGTTCTGGGTTGTATCCTTTGGGGAGGAGGCTGCTTGCACTCCTGAAAGGAAATCTGCATTGTCCAGAATAACAATTCTCTGAAATTGCCAATGGTTCAAGTATTTCTTGCAATGATTCAAGTATTCCTTGTGCAAGGCACAGATGACAGCAGGGTATCTAATTTGCCACCTAGCAAAGGTAGCAGAGAGAGAGAGAAAAAAAAAACCCAAAGCTGGCTCCTTAACTGCTCCTCCTCCATCAGTTCAGCATCATCATGCGGCCTCTCTTTGAGTCCTTCAACGGGATGGTCTCTACCAGCAGCCTAGAAAGCCTCAGTCAGACATCTTTGGCCTGGCTGGAACAATACTGTTCACTTCCGGCACTGCGCCCCAGTGAGTCATTGACTTCCTTTTCGTTTTCAGTTAGGATGGTTCTGGGTGCAAAGGGCAGTTTAACGTTTAAACTTTAATCCAGTATGGAGTTGTTCAGTTGTTATTTGTTCTAATGTTCTATATAGTTCTACTAGTTGGTTGGATACCCGTGCTTCACTATGGAGCTATTTGATTGGGCTTGAAAATGAGTAGTTACGATCGGCCTCTCCTCACCCCTTCTCCCCTGAGGGCTTGCCCCACAGAGGCCTTTTCTATCTTATCCCTTTTCTCCCTCAGCCTGTCCCATTGATCCCCATCCCAGCCCACAGGCTGGATTAGTTATGTGTTGCCTATGCCCAAGTTGCAGTTGAAACAGAGTTCTTTTCAGGTGGGGAGGGAGAGTAGAACATCTAATTCCTTAGCATCATAGCATGTTAAAAATAATATAAGAAATACTAATGCTCTGATGGTCATTTCAAAAAAATCCTTTCTAGGGGGCACCTAGAAGCTAAGAAGAACATACGTGCCAAATTTCAAGTCTGTAGGCTTTACGGTTCTGGAGATTTCGTGGTGACGCATAAGTGGTTTTCACTTTTATATATATAGATTATAGTTGTAATGATAGGATTTCACCTTCTTCTTTGATTTTGTACCTTTTCTTTTTGTTATGATATGTCAGTTCTTTTCTCAAAGAAAAAATGTTTATTAGCAATGCTGGCTGAGGAATTCTGGGAGTTGAAGTTCATACGTCTTAAAGGTGCCAAGGTTGAGAAACACTGCTATAAAGCATAGGTGGATTCAGAAAGCATGTAACAGGATATACAGAATAAAAGAATGAAGACTGTATCTATGTGAAGGTTTATAACATGAGTACAAGTGTGTGTTTCATATCACTTGTGCATTATGTGGTGCTATTTCTTTGGAGAGAAGTATTGCTGTACTTTGCTCTGGCAAGATTCAATATTTCTGTTCCCTAAGGAAGCCTATCAGAGCAAAGGAGCAGAAACAGTTTTAGAGTTGTCTTGTGATTTTATACTCTCCGCACATTTTTTCCCCTTAGCTGTACTGAGCTCCCTTCGCCAGCTGAGTGTTTCGACTTCAATCCTGACCAACCCATCTGGCATCCCAGAACAGGCTACTCAAGCAGTGACAGGAACAAGTACCATCGATGGCTCTTCCTAGCCCCAAAATGGGATGCTAACCAGAGAATAACAGCTGCCAGAGGATTCTTTCATCCCTTCAGAAGAGCTACGTTTATGAAACAACTGATTGATTGGTTCTCTGCAGGAAGCTTATAGAAGAAGCCTCTCCTGTGTTGACTTTTTTACCAAAGTTTCTCTAACTCAAAAGCCATCTGAACCAGCCTTCTCTCTCAACCTGGCTCATGAAAAACAGAAGTGATTAAACTATAAGATCTGTGTGATCTGTGTGCTTTCTCTTGTTAGGCTTAGCTGACACTTCCAGTTTATACATTTCTGATTCATATACTGTAGGTGTGGATCTTCAGTTCTCCATAGTACTTTTTCTGGCTTCAGTTCAAAGTCTTAGAATGACTGTAGATCAGGGGTGGGTTCCTGCCAGTTCTAACCTCTTCTATAGAAGAGGTTCCACAAATCTACCATGCCATTTAGAATCGGTTCCAGCTCCCTCCCCCCGCCCGTCCACACAACGCTTGCCCCGCCTGCCGCTCACTGATTGGCTGGCTCACCAATCACCCCGCCTGCCTCTAAGAGTCCTATCTAAACCTTAAAGTCTTAAAGCTGTCAAGTTTGAACANAATTCTCTGCCTGTCTTTTATTTTTTATTGACCTTAGTTTCTTTTTTGGCTCATTGTTTTTGGTTTCTCCTCACTTCCTCCTCTCTCTGTCACTCTTTCTCTTCCCTACTACTTTCTCCTTGCCTCCTTCCTTCATTCCCTGTTGTCGTTCTTCCTGGCTTCTAGCTTCTAACTCCTCTTTACTGCTATGTTCCTCTTCTGAGCCTACTAGTTGCTCATATAAATCCTGTGCCTTCTCCAAATTATCAACTTTAATCCTTTTCTCCTGTCAAGTTACCAGCATCCCTTCAGGCACCAACCACCTCAATAGTATATCTCGTTTAATCAGTTGTGTTGCCAAAAATCGATAGTCTCTCCGTTGCTCCCTCACTCTTCATGGAATTTGTTTCAGGGTTTGTATCTCCTTTCCTTTGTGCACCATCGGTTCGTCTCTTGTTATTCTATAAATTATATCTCTCACTTTTTTCCTCGCGAATCTGATGTGTACTTCTCTGGGCAATCAGTTTCTTCTGGCATAATTAGTGCTTACCCTGTATATATCATCCAATTCATTTAAGATCTCATGCTTGTCTCTTTGTCTCTTTGTAACATCTCCGCTATTATTCTGGCCATTATCATTTGTATATCTTCCTCTTTTGTCTCTGTTACGTTCTGGAATCGGAGATAAAATGCTGCACGATCCATTTCCAGATGGACGAGGGAGTCTTCTAAGTTTTTGTTCGATGTTTTCATCTGCTGTTCAACTGGCTCTAGTTTCTTCTCTGGTTGTTCTGTTCTTTTTTCTACCGCTTTTATTGACTGTTCATTTTTTTCCAGTGTTTGTTTTTATTATTCCCATTTTATCGTCTAATTTCTGTATGTAATTTTTAACTTCATTTTGAGAGCCGAGGTGGCGCAGTGGTTAGGGTGCAGTACTGCAGGCCACTTCAGCTGACTGTTATCTGCAGTTCAGCGGTTCTAATCTCACCGGCT